TATTTAGGATGTAGTCTGCTATTCATCGGAATCTTTTATTCAATTCAGCTGAACATATTATTATTATTACTATATATTTGTTATTTAATATCAAATTAGTTTATAAAACGGGCTTTATGCATATGGATCACGCAAAATTTATGACTGAATAAAAAACTTTTACTTTAGCATTGATTGAGTGATTTTCTCTCCCATTCAGTAAAAGTCAGCGAAATTCTCTTCTATCATAGCTGAAAGTTTCTACCCCTGATCGACTTCCACGTTTAGTCCTCAACGCTGTATATATCGAAGTGATCGCTGACTATTCCACATCAGACCAAAATATTGTTAACACCAAACAAGTGTTTAGAAATACGGAAATAGGCAACACTCCTGTAACCTAAATGTGTAGCTTACCTGTATGTGCCGTCGTTAAGCGGGATAGTATCGCGGTTATAAATATGCTTATATGTAAAAACGTAACCTACAAAGAGAAGTTCAACAGGGGCGCTTCGAATTTACTACGCCTACATTTAGGCCTTCTATTCATTAAAGTGAGATCAACTTTACGTCCTACAAGAAACATGCGGTGTGCCCTATAAAATACGTGAAGCATCATTTATTGTAGGCGGATACACCGTGTCAATGGCACTGGGTACGCTTTAAAATTGTTTTTACACGTTGCTCCTATAACATGCACGGAGAGGGCTTGTGAGTGGGCACAGAAAGCTCCCACCTCTGAGAGAACAATACAACTTTCAAATAAAGACAATTGTTCGTAACAAAAACGTAGTCCAAAAACATCCGTAAGTCGCTGGCTGAAGCCAGTTGGCATTATCCAGATATAAGTATCTGTTCAGTTTAAAGACACATATCGTACTTTCTCCTGCTTTCCAAAACGGGAAGCGGTATTATGCAAAAACCAACCTATCGCATATTTCGACTTAGCAAACAGTATTTAAAAAAATTAATGAAAAACATGATAGATGCCAAATGTGTAATGATTCATTATTACAGTTACTCACCGTTTCACAGAAATATCAATTATGTGAAAAAGTTCGTTGGCGATTTTTTATATACAAACTTAATAAAAATGTACGTCGTGGTGTATTGTCTTGCTGTTCCGTTGGTGTTATTATGCAAGTCCAAACGCTTTTAGGGCCGTTTCTTTCTTTTAGATGCTAATCAAAGTGTGCTTACTTTTATTATGTGCAACATTGGTGATAAACGTCTGAACTAGGTCACACTTTTTTTAAGTAGGACGCCTTTGATATTTGATGTATTTTTCCTTATCGTCCCAGCTTAATAAAGCACCAAGGGCAATAAGGATCGGTTTCTTACTCTCTAAATAAGATGGATTAGAAAAAAGCTACTGGCATTGCGATAAGATGAATTTAACTTACCTGACGTTGTAAAGAAGAAAGAGATTTAACGAAACATAAAAAAAGCATCAACTTGCAAAAAAATGCATTCTACCCACTTAAATGAAAAGCGCGTGTCTTCCGTCACGCTACGAAAATAGCTGATTTTCGACAATGGCAACAAAATTCAGTTAAGCCCGATTCATTTTACAGCTGACCGGGCGTCTGCTGGACTGGAAGGTATTGTAGTACTTCAGTGTGTTCGTCCTATGTTCAGAAGAGACAGGCTATTCAAGTCAGTAGAAATGGTAGCATCAAAACGGGGAAACTACAGCTTCTAACGTTCCGTTCGTTACGCGATGGCAGAGCTAGTTGTATGTTTGTTATACAGTGATAATCCCTTCCCCCCCCCCTCTCTTTCTCTCTCTCTCCGAATACACGTAGTTCATTTCTAGCCGTCGAGTCAATCGCGCTTGGCCAATTCTAAATGAAGTAGGTGACTGCTTTGGCAGTACGCGTATCCATCGATCCGTTCGGTTTCAAGCCAGTTTTTCATTATCTAACTGGGCAGTTTCTTTCTGCTGTTTGTTAGATTTCCACTACCTGTATGCCATGATAAAAAATGTGTATTTTTACTGTCATACGCCAACGGCACTCGGGGTTCTTTGAAGAGCTTTGGATGTAAATTCGTAAGATGGTATGCTCATTGTAAAGAGTTGTATTCGTCGAATCTCCTCCACTAATAGTCTCTTGAGTATCCAGGTAGTTAGGTAGATCACGACCGAGACTTTAACAACCACAAAATCGCATATAAAACTTGTAGGGATCTGAGAGTTTACCCGAGCAAATTATCGCCTAATTTGATAATGCCGCTAGCGTTTCTAGACAGCTAGTTGAAAACAGTTTCACCGTAAAATTTAGCCCCAATAATTTCAGTGTAGGGGATGGCTTGTTTTTCTTTTTACCAAATTAAAGTTTAGATCTAAAGTAGCGGAAGGGACTGGAATCGCAGACAGAATGGAGGACACCGTTGCCCCACTACCCCCCAAACCTACCTCCTGAAGACGTAGGGGCGATCAACTGTCGACTTATCATAAAAAACGTTCCAACCGACGATTAAGGCTTGTAATAAAAGCTTTGCGGCCTTTTATTAAAAAAAAACTGGTAAAAGTTTTGACCGCCTATTCACCTAGCGTACTTCTCCGCAGACCGATAGACCTCTGGTGGGAGGGTTTGACTTTCTCCCGTACAGAACGGCGGCAACTGAACTAACTCGACGGGCAAACGGCCAGTGATCTTGACGACTGTTGGCTGTAAAATGGTCTTTCGGAGCACATACAAATCGAAATTTTAAAATATTATATACTAAATAAACTAGCAAACTTAGTCATTTTGATGCTGATTAGTCTTACAAATATAAGTCGTTAAGGTTGTACATCGAAGCTAACATGATCCTGGGTACACTCGAGTGCAGGGCAAGAATTATCTCCTTGTACAGAGCCTGCTACCTTGTAATAGAATATACTTTGAACCCAGATTGTCACATTATTATCGCCATTCTATGGTTGACGTTGCTATGGGTCTGGCGAACACAATATCTGCTAACTTCTTTACGGCACGATTTGAGCCGGACAAATATACACTTAGTTTCAATAGTATAGTATGAAACGGTAAAAAATCAGCAGGTTACAGTTTGATTATTGAAATGAGAGATTGATATCAACCTGCGTGCTTCCGTTGATTAATACTGTTGCACAATTCGGGGATGCGGTGAACGATTTGGTATAGCCACGGCCGATTTCTAAGGTGCGTTCGAAACATGGCGCATAACCTATTGACCAATTTGTGCCGGCAATAGGTGTAGTTCTTGCATGAAAGCACTGTTAGCATAATAAGAAATGAAACCTTCCAAAAGACAGAAATACTACTACAATATAATAGAATATCGATTACTTACGCTTATACTTAGTATATCAATTAACTAAAGTTAATTCTTACCGATAATAATACCGATAAGTTAAAGTTGCTAAAATAAACACCCTTTGAACGGAACTAATGTACACCAATGAAGGCACGATTTCTTGCATTGACAGTGAACCATGGGACTGTCACCGTGAACTCCAGTCCCATACTTGGAACAATTTCGAAGAGTTCGAAATATTACGTAGTCATAATATTAGTTCAATTGCGTAAAAATGGCAAAGATCGGAAAAGCGAAAACTCGTTAGAAGCCCGTTTCGGTGCATCTTTCTTTTCTAGGAAGCATGTAAACAGATGCGAGTGATTATGTACATGGACTTTGAAAAGTTTCATTAACCAAAATAATAAAGCTCATGTATAAAATTGTGCCACTGTAATACATTACTAATCGTATGGTACGCGTGTACGGTCTACGGTATAGCTAAATGTCGAGATTTGAGAAGATGCAGAGAAGAGACGTTACCTACAATGGCTCAAAGTCAGGTGCTATCTAGAGGGAGGAAGCGTGCAGATGGTAATCATGCAGGGTCATGACCATGAGAGCACGCCCTTGAATTCATTAAGGATGATGACCTAAGTCGTTCTTGATGTGATATTCGTACTACGGTCAACTACATCATGAGTTGGCTTGTAACATAGTACAGGTTTTTAGAGAGTTCAAAGAGAATAAATTGTGTTTCCTTCTAAAATCAGTTATTTAATTTTGAAGTCGGAAAATAATTTGATTATTTTAAAGTTAAATAAGATTCTGACATTTCAGTGCGTTTTATACACATGATGTATTTTAGTTATAGGCAAACGAAATGTTCATCATTAGGGCAAAATTCTAAGTTCTGGGGGTATTGCGAAAGATTACCCTTATGAAATCCAAAACGTCTTGCTGGGTTTGTCTGACTTTTACCTAACTGAGCCAGGTGACGACAGGATTGAGTGCATACAGCTCAGCACAATCATTGAGAAAAAAAGAACGATCTTAATGTGTCGCTACCTGAATTTTTGAATTGCGATCAGCAGTGGTTAGTAAACTTATGAATTTGCATACTTTACAACTTATGAAACGTATTTAGTCTATGACTATATATGCGTTACTCGAGTTGTGTATAAACTCTAACATTATTAATAATTAAGGTTTGACATTGTCATGATAAGTTACGATATGTGAACTCTCAAATCGGGAGGGTCTATATTTGATTAAGTAATTCTTCTTCTATTGCAACTACTACGGAGACCATAACGACCCAGCTGAATACAAACTGACAATGAGGCCGCCCTCTGCTTTGTTTCGATATTTGTTCTCCATCCGGGTCCATTGCGCTTCTTCGGGCCTAAATCCGCGTGCCCTATGGTCTTCTGCAATCTCAAAACTAAATCTGAATTCAGCGAAAATGAAAATTCAGTATTTCTATTAGCGAACTTCAATATTTGGCGTCATACCCTTGTTTAGATAGTGGCTCTAGAGCACTGAAATGATATTACAAAATTAGCAACGACGGCTTTCACGCTCTTCTCATTCCCAACCGTATTTGTATGGCATCCCTTCTTGTGTGCCTTTCGCAGACCAAGTCACTACTTGCTCGGTCTATATGCAGTAGAGTATCTTCCACTCTTTCTAGCCCAGGGGACCCTCTATGGAGCCTAGATGCAGTGAAGGTACGCAAAGTGTGAACATAGCTGACTGATGGCGTATTTTACACATTTTGTTATCCGTTCGCGACCTGTTCTGTTCTAAGTTTACGACGCGCTGTTTTTTTCCGAGGTTGATGCTATTACTGGCATCAACTTCTCAGGGTTCACTTGCTGATGTAACGTTACTCTGAACTTTGATGCTAGCGGCCGACATTAAGTGAATAGCTGGCGACAGCGACAGTATAAGTCTTGGTGTTGTGTATTATTCGGGCCGTTCTGTAGTTCGGGCAGAGTAGTGGGCCCGTCGTCAACTGGGACCAGCCGCTGGGTCGTGCTGGTAGTGTCCGGGTGGACTCTAGGCTGCGGCAGGTCTGTGCAGTGGTGATAGTGGTCGCTGTAAGCAGCGGTTGTTATCGTGGTAGTCATTCGCTGGTCCTATTGCAATGCGGCGTCTGTGGGCGAGCGCGGTGGGAGCGTGCGTGTTGTTGGGAGGTTTGATTACCCTTTCCATGCCGTCGGAGGCAATCGAACCACTGTCACTCACCGCCGGCGGTGTGGGATTAGCCGTCTCAGCAGGATATGCGTTCTACAATTCGTTGCGTTGCAAATATGAGGAATGTTGCTCAGAGCCATGGATTCGCAAGATTAGTAAGTGCAACAAATTGATGGTAGAATTAGGGAGAAAAGAAGAGGTAATTGGTAGCGTCAAAGCTGTGCTTCTTGCAGGTCAAAATTGCTAACGAGTAGATGTGCGACAATCAATATACGCTGTTCTATTGAAAGACAATTCGAACCATTCTAAGAACCATTTCTATGTTCGTTGTCTATGTCTGCTTGCAGAGTGTTCACCCTCGGCTAAAGGAAACAAGGACGTAAAGAACAGTGAGTAACTCTACTTAGAACCGACGAATGCCAATACTACAATTGTTTGCGTTGAAGCAAGCGATTTTTAAATAAGGACTTCTTTTTGCCATAATTATGATGCTACTGGCTGCCTGTTTGTGTTCGTGTGTGTATGTGTTTCGGCGCTTGGATGAGCCTCTGGAAGAATATATTCCTTGGAAAATTGATTGTTTTCTTCGGCTAGTTGTGTTTGGTCGGTTCAGCAATCATGCCCTTGTCATGGAGAGCCAGGCAGAGGTTCGAGAATAATGCGGATACTTCTTATTTTTTAGCTGGACATTGCTTCAGAAAAACCCGTTACGGCGTGCCAAAGTAGGCAGTGGTACGTTAACACTTAGTAATACTTAGAAGATGTAAGGATATTTAAGATAAATCTAACATGTTATTACCGAGCGATTTTTATCGAGTGCTGGTCTGGATGGTTCCTCAAAAATATTGAATTCTGTCATATTCGGGAAGCGGTTAATATCTGTTCGCAGCTAGACGGGAAATAGAATGATTAAAATGAAGTTCAGTATCCAATTAGATGACAGCTTTGAATGATAGGCACGGCATAATGACTTCGTTGTCGTAGCGGAGCCGAAATGAGCATGTACAGTGTGCCGCTCGTTTCGAAATGGATATGGTCTATAACTGTAAATGTCACCATAAAAGAATGACAAAGAACAGAGCTATCTTCCTGTGTTGGGAATCTTCTCCGCTTTCAGCGCGAAGACAAGACACTTAGTATGCAGTATAACTATACATAGTTTTTAGCATTAGAATTATGCTTTATTTTTCTATAAACAGAAAGAGGCGTCCTTCAGACTTCCATTAAAGTAAGCGACCATCGTAGTTACTGTAGAACGGAGATCAATTTGTTTAATTATGTCTAGGAACGAATGAGTGCGTGTGAATTTGTATGCATTCGAACGCATACGAAAATATGCTTGCTTTAAGCTATAATACTTTGCTGTTTTCTTCCTGTGAGAAGTATTATCACCAACCCTTATTGACCGGACAACTCAAAGGGGCGACCCAGAGACTTCTCGTATGGTCTGGCTCGAGTCTCGCTCGAGTGCGCTAAGAATATCGACGAAACCAGTGATTCTAATAATGCTGCCGCTGCTACCTAGAAGGCCGGCCGGTCAGAGCCTTAGGTGTTTGTAAAGTCTTGGACACGGGACTTACCTAGTACCCTCCTCGTAGGCTATTCGGCTTACAGCCTGCATGACCTGCTGCGAGTCCTGTCGGCGCCGTTCTTACGACAGGAAGGCTACGAAAGTGTCTCTTGTCGCGAAACGCATAGAACAACAACGCGAAGTGTGTAGTCATTCAACTCTGAGTGAGTTGGCGAGCTTGGCTACGTTCTCGGCTTAAGCCTTGTCTTAGTTAGAGCGTGCGGTGGACTTGAAGCTGCCTTAAGTGAGGTTGTTTCATCCGCCATCTCTTTAACGCACAGTTCAGGCGGGGTACAACGCGCATATGACTCCTTGGCACCAGAGCTTTGATTTGACGCTTCTGCTATAGTAATATGCGACAAAGGTGCCTCGGTTGTATGTGTCATATATTCACTATGTGTATGACATTGTATTGTTCGTTCTGTGCCTCTTTCATAGGGCTTCATCTATCGGGCCGAAATAGATATTTTTAAAATAATTCTCTGACGTAAATAAAAAAAAACATACCAATTATACCAGTATAATTGACCTTTCTCTTATGAGGATGCTTATATCTGCCATTAATGCGAAGACGACCCTACTTGCATGGTATTTCAGGTTGCGTTATTTATTAATAAATATGTAATAATTAGGTATGATGAGAATCAGCGACCCATTTTACCCGTTTAACACCAACAAACGAATAGGTTGTATAGGGTCCTCAGTCATCTAGGAAAATCAGCAACATCAATGCCTACGCTCACGATTTTATGCCTTTGTAGAGTTCTTGATCGGAACTCTAATGGTGTGCAGCTGCAATTGTTTATTGTACATATTTTATATACTAAATAGAGTTATGTGGGATGAGAAAGCAACAGACGCTGACGCTCGTTTAGGTCATTTGGGAGCACTGATTTGTGAAGTGTGATAAATTGAAATGAAATCGCTTGATGCATTTCAGTATATATTTTATATTAATCATTACAGACATGGTACTAACGTTTGCGGTGTTTTTTTTGCATGTTTAGAGAACCCTCCAACGGATAATGATTACGGCTGTAAGTTACATTACTGTTTTTCAGTGTCTGTACATCTTAAAAATTACCCACATATTATTGCAAACATTTATTTTAGTCATGTTTTGATTAGAATTTTCTTAATTTGCTTAGCTATGTTAGCTACAATGGAAAAGGTTATCGATTCACGATCTTTCTGTGCGCTGATTCATAATTGATTATACGTTACCGCTACATGAGATTATTTACGTTATTCCGTACCGTAGTGTGATTCCTGATCAGGTCAGAAAAACATGGCTCCGTAGAAAAAATTATTATTTTTTTTACTACGTAACAAATGTCCTATCCGGTCATGCGCCTGAATCGTGATTTCCATAATCGTAATCTATATACCGGAATAAATGCTTTTCATTTCGTCGTTACAGAAGCATATTATCCTCGAGTATTTTTCGATGATATTTATGTATAAAGGCAACTTAAGCACAATAGGCTCTTAAGACACCAGGCACATATGACATTGCCAGCACGTCCTTTAGGTGGCACTGCAGTCGTTATTCGCTTCCTTACGGCTAACTGATCTATTCGAAATTTTACGTCATACTATTATTTGTTGTCGAGGCAAGAGTCATTAATACTAACTTGACCGATACCGACAGTTATAAAGACAGCATGCAGCAGTAGCGGTATTACCATTTATAAAGCCGTAAAATTTACTTATTTACCTTACAAGTATTGGAGGGTCGCTAGTTAGTAAGGAAAACTAAAGTTTTTCTTGGCTACTTAAAAACGATATCGTTGAATCAAATACTGGTTTTATAACGCGTTATCGTTTTTGCGGTGATCGACTAGATCTTGAGCAGGTTCTGAAGCAGAGCCTCCATGGACAACCACTCGTTTACGCCTCGGTCCCCGGTGCCGTCGCACAACACCTGTGCAACCCCAACCCAAAAAAAGCTCTCGTCATGTCCTTCCACGGCTGGACCGGGGGTGGAAAAAATTACGCATCGATGATCCTTGCCAACTACCTCTATAAGAAAGGACTCAGATCTGACTTTGTAAAGCTCTACGTATCAACCCTGCACTTCCCTCACCAGGATGAAATTGGCCGATATAAGGTACATAATAGAAAAGTGTTTCAGAAATGAGCCTGGCCGCGATCACGGTACGATGATCTTCCTGTGTTAGCTCTGAATGTTAGTTCTATTTGAAGTCATTATTGATCACACAAGTGTAATTTACGTCATTCTCAAACTGAAATGGTTGCAGCGCAAGCTCCAAAAGGAAATTGTTGAACAAGTGAAAAAATGTCCTCAGTCGATGTTCATCTTCGACGAGATCGACAAGATGCCGGCTGGTTTAATTGATATCATCAAGCCTTTCTTGGATTTTCACACTTCCCTCGATGGAGTTGACTATCGAAAGTGTATTTTCGTCTTTCTCTCGAACACTGCTGGTGACCTTATTGCGAGGCAGGCGCTCACGTATTGGAAGGATGGCATCGACCGCAACAGGATTGCGCTTAAGGCAAGCTAGAATTGTTCAAAGCAATAATAACACTTTCATAAACGGCTGATTTTTATTATAACATCAACAATACATAACCCGTTTTCCGAATTTTTATAAGAATAAATTCAATCAGCAATTAATATTACTCGTATATAGGACATGGAATCCGTGATTGGACTTGGCAGCTTTAATGAGAAGGGTGGTCTGTACCGCGCGGATATTGTGGATAAGAATCTCATCGACGTGTTTGTACCGTTCCTGCCTCTCGAGAAGAGGCAGATTAATCAGTGCATTCGCGACGACTTTCACCGGAAGAATGTCGAGCCTACCAAAAAGATGGTACGTATGGTACTAGTGAGAGGCGCTGTGCATGATTTTTAATATCCTGTTGGTCTCTATGGACAAGGACAATAGTCATACATGCTGTTGATATGGGCACAGCGCTAAGATGTTTAGTCCAACATACGCAATGAATCGATTGCCTGCCTAATTTGTCGCTTCCCAACAGGTTGATACTATTGCCGACGAACTTGAATACATCCCTCAGGAATTTCAGCTGTACTCGTCCACCGGTTGCAAGAAGGTCCAACACAAAGTGCAGCAATATCTTCACGGTGGGGTCAGTGCAGAAGAAGATAGTGAAGAAAATTAAACCTTTCTACAGAAACCTGCACTGCCCGAATGGTTCCTTGTGCCCTTCATATCGAAAACATCCCCACAGCCATAACTGCTGCATTCTTCCCGTCAGAAGACAATGCGACGTCTTGAAAGACGCGGTGTCGTTATGATGGTGCAGGGATAAAATTACCATGTGAACTACACGTGCCCTATTACCTACGTTATTAACTATGTAACAATACAGACGATGCCGATGCTGAAAAGTCAACAAGAAAGAATAACCGTTTCCGATCATAAGCGTGACTACGGAGGATCACAGGCTCATCGATGCGCGCCGACTATAGCAGCCGCAATCATCTAGTCAAAAACAGGCCAGCAGCAGAAGAAGCAGCGAATTGAATGCGAGATGCAACTTGGTCCTAGCTGCACCGTACAAGAGTGTGATTGCTAACAAACAAGATTTTTGAGTATCCTGAGCCCAACGTCTTGTAAAGAGGTAGCGTGAGTTTGATGGGTCTCTTGAGCGATACACTTATGACTGCCTTTTATTATTCAATTTAGGAATTATTTTAGAAATATCGTCCTTGTCATTATCCTTATTATAGATGCTGTACAATAACATAATGTGGTTAATAGAAAGATATTGTTGTGACATTGGATATTATCAATGCCATTGGATCGAACCAGCTGGTTTCATTTGCCTGCTGTCTTCACGTAGCTTAATGCAGGTGGCTCGAAATTGACAGACGAATTTATGTTTAACGGCATTAGACTTTGTAAGGAAAAAAATAATTATAAGGACCATTGTCATGTATTTCTTTATATTCGTGTGTTTAGGATACGTTTGTTTCTAAGCACCGTTATTGTTTCGATCTAAACTGCTTAATCTGAGGGGTGCAATACGAAACTTAACGGCCCTTTTATAAGCTACAAAACAAAGGTATAACTAATCTCTCGCGTGTTATTAATGCATCAATAAAGCCCATGCAATGAAAAATTATACACTAGCAAATAGCTGCACAACGGTAGTAATTTATACATTGCTAATTATAATCATAGAAAATAAAAAATCATTTGAAGAATGCACGATGAAGATGATTTAGGAAGAATTAATTCGAAAAGTGATGGCGTGTTAGATAAAACGATATTATTCTTGCCGTTATAAGGAGCAGGGAAACGTTGTTGGGTCGCGTGAACACCTCGATTGAGATATGCATTTAGATAGAAAATAGGAAGTAGCGATGTCAGATGTTGATTTATCATCAAGTGGAAATGATTAAGGATGGGTAACTCACTGTTGAATTTGTACCTACCGTCAGGCACCATCGCCATTTGGTGACAAAATGAACCTTAAGTGAAACGAAAGGCCCTCTGAGTAGGAGTGGCCCAGAAGCAAAATGATATGAAAAATAAATAGTTAAATAAGTAAATACAAGAAAAAAAGAGAAGCGATTACTTAAGTGAAGCGCATTGCAAGAGTCATAAGACGCCGAAGTGCCTTCCTTCATCCATTTTTTGCTCATCGCTTTCAATGCCGCTGCAACGATGTCAGCGCCGTCCAGTTTTTGTAAATAGAGGAAAAAAGAATGTTCGTCTTGTTTTTCGGTAATTGTGTACGTTTCTCTACAAAATGTTTGGTTTGTTTTTCTTAATAAATTGGGCTATTTATTCAATTATTGTCTTTATCTAGATATTTACTGCATTAATAAGATCGCTTTGAATAAACGACGAATCAGCCATAGAAGATAATTGTTGTACACATGCTGTAGAGGCCAATAGCATCGATAATCAATTAAGGAACGGAACTTCTACGCATCAGGTGGTAGTGGCACGTGCTCTTAGTGAAAAATACGTGACGGTGGATCATCTACGTTTACAAGAACCACTTGATGTTTAATGCGAAGAAATATTGTTTGATTTTGAAATAATTTGATTGTGTCAAGGATTTGTAATGATACATGAATGTGCAAAAGTTACGGAAGTCAGTGGCTCTATGCTTCTTTCGTCGTCAAATGCTTCTTTCTATTGATAATGAGAGGATGAAATAAGCGTTTTTTAAATAGTTTTGCTGCAAATGCTCTATCTACAACATCGTTGGGCCCGACGTGACGAGGCTATCCTGTAGTAGTTCGTTGTACGCCGCTACTTCGGATTGAACCTTCTGTTGCAGATGTCGCCACGAATGCTGTGCCACTTTGGACGCGATGGCCTCGCGCAGCTGTTGATTGTTGGCCTCAACATGTTGCCAACGTCTTTCCAGGTTTGCAAGCTTGCCAAAGGTGTCATCTTGTTCCAGTTCGCGCCTAAGTGCGTCGACCTCACGGGATTGTTCCTCAACCACCTGCATTTAGCGGCAAGCGTATATTGTCTATGGGTCTACCAAGTTCACTAGTATCAATTTGATTTGCTTATATATGGCGAGTATTTTCAACGTTATCATTGCAAACAATAAAAAGGGTGTTCATTAGGGAATAAGTTACGAATGTCGCGTCTCGCCGTGCCCGCTTTACTCGTTTAGCTGTTTAACCTACGTAACAACGACAATTAAGTGGATCTGTGAGCTACAGCCTGCAGTTATCAGTGTAACTTCTCTAAGTCAACACGTCTCTTTCTCGTCCAGCAAAACTTCTTGGGACAAATTGGCTCGCGTGGTACACATACAAACATACAGACCCAGACCTGATTTCTCTGTCATATAGATATACCTTTCGTGTGGTGTCCTTCCTTAGGAGCAGTGATTCTTGTTCCTTAATAAGAGATTCTCTCTTTTCCTGTGCCTGTGCTTTGAGGCGGTCGATGTCTTCATAAATAAGCATCTCTTCTCTCATCGTTGTCAAACGGGCTTTGATCGTTTCCATCTCCTGACGCACCTTCACATCCAGTTGCTCAATCTAATTGAGAAAAAAATGCTTTTTGAGTAAGTAAATGCATCATAGTTTATCCTTATAGTAACCGGCTCGTATAGCGATTCGTATTAGTCTGACGTAATTCTTTTTATGGTTTCAGAAAGTCTGTTTAAATAGACAGCCGGTACCAATATATAGCCACTCTATACAGACCAGTTGAAAATACGAGCCGTGGAAGGGGTTCGCGCCTTTTACCGTGCCTACTCTTCACTTCAGACAGAATTTCATCACTTACCTTATTTTATAGACGAATAAACTTATCGTTGCTTGTAAGACCTAAGTTCCTACCTTTTGTAGATCCGAAGCAAGCTTACGCTGTTCGATTTCTAGACCCGACATCGTTGACTTACTTTTCTCAAGCTCTCCCTCTTTGAAACTAAAAAAAAAAACATAAAATACTCAAGTGAATATTTCACTTAATATATATAAGTGGACAACTGTATTGTTACGATGGCATAGCGATTCCGTAGTTAACGTGTGTTCGTTTAAACAATGATTTTTGAATTACGATCCTCACTTCTATTACACAAAATTGTGAAGACCATATGTTAGACATAAAGTGTAATTAGAAATTTGGTCTTTAATCTATGCGTTAGATTCATACAAGGTACCTGAGGTCGTTCTGGAGCTCCTGCAGCTTATTTTGAGATGGCAAATTGTTGGCTTGATACGTTTTTTGGTCGGTGTCTTGTCTGAGACGACGAACGCTTTCTTTGATCTTATCCTGGCGTTCAAGTTCTGCAGCTTTTGTCTGCTCGAACGAATCCAAAAAAGCATCCATAGTCTCCTCGCCTAATTATGAATAATATTTGTTTAATATTGTTGTCGTTTGGCAATTTTTTTTGCTAACGTGACGCTTATTATTAAACGTTTGTTTTAGTACAGTCATGACCATCGTCATAGCTAAAGTGTATGCACTCTGTATGGGTAATGTTAACAGGCTTGCCAGGGAGATCCATCTCGATGTCATAGATAATGTAACCTTTCTATGCATTTCTCACTATATTTATAACGCGTAGAAGAAAAGGCGTACCATTGAGGCCTATCTGAACTCACGCTTTTTCAGCTCGCGGTATTTAGCGCTGCGTTCTGAATTTTGATCATCGAGCTCGCTTTCAAGCTGAGATATTTCTTCCTTTGCGCGACCAATACTTTGTGTTAGCTCCTGGATCTTAGCTTCAATACCTATCGTAAATATAAGTCACACCATTAACAACTCAATAAACCTCGGCTTTGTGGGCAATTCGTATTTCCTTTGCGTCCTGAGGACATAGCAGGTACGAGATCTCATCGTGACAAGACCCATATTCTTATACATTTTCAACAGCAAATAGCATTATGTGATTATCAGCTCATATAGCTATAATCGCACAGCTGATCCTAAACAAAAACACACTTTCAAAAAAAGCTGTAATATATCTATTTGGGAAAGAAATATCATGTATCGGATTTAATCGCTCTATCTCAAGGACTGTTTTAGTAAAAGCAAAACGTTGAGCGTGACAATTTTCCTCTAGCTTTCGACTGTTTGGTAAGACGACGGTTCAGGCTCAACGCTTTGCACGTACATCTAAATTGGTTGTCCTTCTTAAATTACTTAGGGTTCGATATGGCTTGCGAATTAAGGAAGTGCGAATGTTCATACGTTTTTTTGCATAGTCGGCCTTCTGCCGTCCTTTCTAGGACATGTCCTGGTATAGCTCTTTTCCTAGCATTCTTCGAACGACTTATTAGGGTAGGGGGGCTGAGTACTAATAGTTTGGAAAGAGTGAGCAATCTATAGCTTTTACTAACGCTGACATTTTTGTTGAAGGACCAAGGTGTGTCAGCACTAACTATTGAGCGTAGCCCACCTCTGGATTTGCGCATTCAGTAGCCAAATACCATAGTATTGTCTTACCGCCTCAGAAACTGCACATGTTTATATTCACCTGCCAGTTGAACATTGTCCTGCTTGACCTGCTTAAGGAGGCGCTCCCTTTCCTGTACTGGTGTCCCCTTTGTAGCTTCTTCCTCAAGAAGAGCCTCCTTCTTTTCGCGGGCTTCTCGCAGCTTGCTATAGAGAGCCACGGCCTCTAGCTTGACCTGTACATTTAATTGTTTTCAAATAACCTTTTTATCGGTATTATTATCTGATCACGACTGTTTTTTTTTTTATATCGAGCCCACTATGCCACGAAAAGGGCATTTTCGAACGTTATTCATCTAAAAAAATATATTCAAAACACCCAAAATGATGTATTGCCTTGATTTAAATATAGTTTTCGAAATACTAAAACCTCAATTCTGGTACATATCTAAATTGATAAGTAAATGGCCTACTTGGCAAAACGCTTGAACAACAAAGAAGGTACATGCTACTTTAGCCAGTCTATTGACTATTAAGTTTTTGAGCCTCTTTCCTGTAAAAACATTCAACTCGTAAACAAATATATTTACAGTTATGTAAAAAATGCCTGCAGTCGTTAATATCTAACGGTTTGCAGGATCCCAATGAAAATAAGAATCTGATGTTTATTAATGACCTGTGATAAGGAGACCTCTTCCTCAAGCTGTTTGCGTTTGGCTGCGATACTAGCTGCTTCTTCCTGCAGTTTTTCAAGCTCTCCACCCAGCAGTTTCGACTGGCGCATTAATTCAACATACTTTTGTCGTTGATCAGCTTTCATCTGGGAGATCATATTATCTGCAATATTTCTGAATAGGTATTGATAATATGTTGATTTATTGGCTGTATAGGGCACCGTGGTATTAAACACTGTAACTGTAAAAAGTTCACGATCTTTTACGTTCAAATTTATAATTGTCTCAAAGCTTTAAGCGAATAAATTTGTTCACCTGACATCGAGTATCTCTCGCTCTAAGTCACGAATTTTTGCCTCGTTTTCTTGACGTTGTTCGAAGAGCGCCTCCACAGAACGAGCCTCCTGGTCATTTTGAGTCTTGATGAAAATTTATTTTAGAAAAATTAGAGCGTATTAGCTAGATTTTTATTACTTAATGAAGCCCTGTATAAACTCATCGCTAGGTCGAGAAAATTGTGGACTATTGGTCAGGTCGATGGAGCAGAAGGGGAGCTGAAATGTTGTCTCGGTTCAAAATGTTGGACTAACTGTTAAAGTATTATTGAGCCAGCTTACCCTTTATTGAAGCCATGCTTCCTATGTTCAGGTGATTCAACCTGTACCTTCTTTAACGATTACACTTCTTACGGCTTATGGAAAGCCTATGAATTGTCTATTTTTTAATACTGATTAAGTTAAGCTCCTGTAACGGTACTCTTTGTTATGGAAACCGTACGAACTACTTAAAGTCCGTGACTGTTCCTTCAAAAACAAAATGGTCGGTGTCAACCCACAATTCCTCAAGACAAAGGCAATTATAAGCGCACTCCAAATTGGCAATAAAATTTGGCGTCTCTGCCTCGAAGAGAAAAAAATATAGGCTTGATTGGCTAATGCAATCAATCCACGACGTCATCTTGTTTTTTCTTTTTATTCAAAAGGTTTTTCGATGATAGGCGCAAAATGCAATACCAGTATAACGATTAGAAAGTAACTAACAGGGGCTTAATCTTTGCCAGCCGGCCTGGTGGCATTTGCCACGCCCTCTCATCAGCTTGTACCGCCATCAAAAGAAAATCCGAGCTGGCACGAACTGATGTACAAAAGGGAAATCCGGCTGAATTATTGGGTATTCGTTACGACGGAATTATGTTCAGCCGATAGGGTCAAGCCTGCTACTCGATTCACGTTAGGTAAGTTTTTCCTTGGCGGTAACTGGTCGCCTATAAATTCCAGTACTCGAACCCCTCTAGAAAAATATATATCCATGTGGGCTTAAATATAGTTTTCGTGAATGCAAATTGTAAGTGTTGCATAAGATATATGCATATTTGTACAACAATGTATTGTTGACTTACATTTATTATACCTGTAAGTACTATCTGGTTCCAGTAGAATGCTATCGTGATGACCTTACCAATACTGTAATTAGAGTGGGTATATTCATGCTTTACTTTTATGTGAGTTCGTCACTCACGTTCGAACAGTTTTCTACCTATTTTTTTATTCGCATAACTTTTTTACAAAAATAATTCCCAATATACTTGATTGATGTGACACATAAAATTGCAATTTATCTTTTAAACAAGACCAGGGCATTGAGTGGAGCAGTTCTGGCCTAAAACGATTTAACAACTTTTGTCCTTATTATCCTTCTCGTTTTTTTTGTGCAAATTATCAACACTTTTGAATTAAAGACAGTGAAGAAGAGTTTTGACAGTTGGCTCATTTTTTTTTTACCTTGAGCTCATTGCACTCGTGCTCAATATCGTCGACTCCCTCATTCACGTTCATTTTATCGATAACGATATTGTAATCTGCTAACTCCCCCTGAAGAAGTTTCAGCTCACTTGCTAAGGATTCAGCTTTCTTTTGGAGAACCATCACATTCCTACAGTAAAACAAATTTAGCGTACATCTGTGACGTTAATGAGCATTATTTTGTTTCTTCAAATTAATATTTTACTAACGTAGTCATAACGTAGTCATATTTGACGATTAATCATAAATTACTAGTGAACTGTCATAGTTCCATATGCCCAAATGAGGTACGGCAGCTTGCCTTTGTTCTTCCTGCATACGGTCGTTCTCCTTCTGGAGCTTTGTGATTTCTGCATAAAGTTCAGACATCTTGTTACGGATCAAGGCCATAAAGTAGGACTTATCCTGAATCTGTCGCCGCGTGCCCGACCGGGTACCTGTTTCGTGTAAGCACAATTACATGCATGGTTGTGAGAAATTGGTGACAGTTATTCGCTGTGTCAGGAATTTAGTCATAATCTGAAATCGTTGTGGCTTCCTCTGATTAGAGAGCCAAGCATCTGAGTACGTTCTTATTATTACGATCAACATTCAAATGAACGTCTGCCTAATCGATAACTACCGGTCTTCGGTGCGTAGAGTCCATGTTGGGTAGTTGGCCTATCGGCAATACTGACTGATGGAGGCGGCGGAACGAGAGTGGAGCGAGAGCCTGGCCTTTGGCTCGCAGACACCAAGCGGCTCGCTGTACCAGGAACGGAGCCATTTGCCAAACTGCCGCGTCCTGTAGCAGCGATGATGTATATAGTGAAAAATCATATAGGTAATTCGACAAAGACGTACGTGTACGTACAATGCTATCGCTCAATTTATAGGAGAAGAGCATACACGCATAAGTTTCATCTACGTAATGGCATATATGAGAAGCGAAACAACTGTACAATGAAGGTACATAAATTCGACGATAACGACATAGCACTTAGACAACATATTTCACAGCAGCTTGCTCGGCTGTCGTTATTAAATTGTACTATTAAATCGACCAGAGAATACAATACACGGCAACCATGTATTAGACCAGCGGGATGGTCACTTAACGGCATCGAAACTCCAATCTATCACAGAACTGATACATGGTCAATCGCCTCATCTCCATTCAAGGATAAACTCAAAATGGTGGTTCTCAGCCATTCACGCATGTGTGGCTACCAAAGAAAAAAGGACAACACTTATACTACGCAATACAATGTATGACTTGATTAGCGCCACTATAAAGTACAAAGCACACAATCGTTGACAGCTTTCACCATAAATAAGTACATAACAAACAACTGCCAAGCAACAACGAATCTGCGCCGAAATACTATTGCATACGTATACGGAACAGTCGAAAAATTCGATAATCTTACCTGTAAAGAGACGCACTCCCGATGGAGGCCGACGAGCCGAAGATGTTGATGGACGATTGTCCATTTAAGAACGGAACCTTCTATGGACTTAGGAGTGGGAAAACTCACTATCGCACAAAGAACTTTCGCTAAATCTTCCCGCCGCTATGCCTACGAAGTGGCACTCTCTGCTATGGTCGTCGACCTCCGAGTCCACGGTTTCCATAGTTACATGAGACGGCCTACAGAGATGAGTGTAGTGGCTTATTCGGTTTCACACTATCGTACTAACTACGAGCGAGACTGGCTAGCTATGAAACACAGAAAATATTTATTTATTTGTGAATTGTACACTGCATTATTTGAAATATAGGAGCGTGCATCTGAGCAGCGGAACCGTAATTGTCCTATTAAAACGCAACGGAAATTCCCTGTGTATATCTATGCAATTGAAAAGGAACTATAGGGTCACCCGAATAGTTGTAATTGCACAAGGAGTACTGTTAAAGGTCATATATCATGTTGATGTAAACAAATCTGCTATATATGTCCTATAGAAAAAAAATACTGTTTTTCTATATATATATATATATTTTATAGGACATATAAAATGATTTTGTAAGAACCGGATAGGCCAATGGAACCTACAGGTTAGCTGGGGGTTCCGGTTGTCGATGAAGCCGCTGCGGAGTATTGGTTATGGGTCAATTTGCATCCTTGGCTGCCCGTAGCGAACGATTCTTTTTTTTCTTAAGGTTGTTGAATTGCTGCGACTATCTGAAATGCGCTTAGAGCCCATTACCTGTCGACCTAGCAGGTCAGAAGCTAACAGGCTTACCTATACATATATATATATACCTATCTAGTCAAACTTTCTTTACACAGATACGTGCCCCAAAATGTCCGAGAGGTTTATGCTGGCTTGACTAAACACTTCGGCAGTGATATAGCTTTGAAGGAGCTCCCCTGTAATGTTTCAATTATGGAGGACTCTAAATATAGAGTCCTCCGTGTAGGATCACACGGCGTACATCCAAGGAAAATATGTAATATTCTCAAAATCATATATGCGTTATACTATAAAAGCACCTATGTTTTTTATTCGACCTAGTGATATTTTCTAGAGGATTCATTTCTCGGTTCATTTTGTCGAGTTTGTCCTGTGACATATAGGTACTTCATATCTTGAGCCTAGAGTCTTTGATCGCAATATGTATACTCATTGCAGGCGTCCTCTACGCGCGATTTACGATACACAATACCTGTCTTGGAATTACTAACGAATCTAGCCTAGAGATAAGAACATAAAGTTGTACGTCGTCGTATTGCGCATCAGATATTATATATAGGGGGGTACAACTCGACGGTTTGCATAGCTTCGCAGACAATGTCGGAACTAAAGCTATGTTGACTACGCAGAGCTTCTTGAATCTGGGTCGCGATATCATCTCAGAATCGATAAAAGGTCGGAAAACTGGGTTCATTCCTATTATCATCAACTAGTTCTCATCGTCATTTGTCCATCCCATTGCACGTGGCAACTTGGCTTGAGGCTCACGAAGAGCAGGTACACGTAGGCTGTGATTTTAAAGATCCGAGTGATGCGTTTAACAAATACGTATAAATGGTCCAATTTGACTACAGTAAACCTTTATTTTGCTTCTACATCATGACAGAAAGCGCAACTTACAACGATTACAAATAAATACTCCAAGTAACTAAGTTCATCAAAGAATGAGGTTCCGTATCATATCCGTGTTCTAACTACAACTAAATAATTAACTAATAACACATTGCCAATTATAATGAAAACTAAATAGTATACTTTTTAGGGTCTAATTATAAAAATGGCACCTTGACACTTTTCCAGAAGCACGATTTATTAAGATTCACTATCATTGTTGCCATCAATACCAGCGTCATAGTGTTTATCGTTCTTTGTTTATTCGATACGACGACGATAACAGCCACTATCGAGAGAGGAGCGCTTCAAAGATAACGCGTCAAGATCAACGTCGGGCCATCACTCCTACGACGTAAATAATTATTAAGTTACCCGTAATACGTATGCGAAGGTCGCATTTAATCGATCCTGCCTAATAGTTCCCTACCGTTCAGCATCGTATTACTAATTAATAACACAATATCTAATAATTACAATTGATCGTCGTTAAGTGATATAGCCCTACGAACGCCATTCCTCCATTCCATGAGTCTTATATGTTTCATCACTTGTCACATAGTACTTATGATATTAAAAATCGATTTCTTTAGGAGTGACTGAATAGGAATTGTGACTGTCTGTTGCCCATTGTTTCGATATCTCCATAAGCCTATTCCTGACTTTGTTCTCGTGATGCTGCATGCACCTTGTTGAATTGTATTTTCATGGTTCACGTACTACAAAATGTGTTTAAAGATGATGGCATCGACATGTTAGGTCAGTATTGACCAATAGTCGGAAGCATAGTAGGCAAGTTCCGATCTTCGTTTCTGTAGGTACAATAAAAACAGCGGAAATAGTTATTGCAGTTATCTCGTTTTGAAATTTTAGCGCTTTCTCCTTACTCACGAAAATATCCTATTATTATTATTATTATTATTCTCATTTACGATACTTAGTTAATCATTCGAGGGACGATTTAGGCGTAAAACGCTTCCTTTCTCTGCCTTTCCATGTTTGCGTGCGATAAATTTATGAGGTCTTCTGCTAGTGAGGTTACTTCTTCTCGAGTGTTGTTTATTGCCATAAAATGTTGTTTTTTTTTTTTGCTTTTAGCTTTCAATAAATATGAGGGGTCACATGAGTGGAAATCTTACAACCACTGCCAGTTGCAAGTAATTCTCGTAGTAGCCAACTCGACTGAGCAACATGAGACAGCGAAACCCCACATTCTCTATGTTCCCTGTCAGCTTTCCACTATGCGTGTGGTAAAAGAACTGTAACTTGATTTCTGTTACTGCCCTATGGCTGCCTATTGGCAGTGGTAGTGCGAGTCATGCTGTGAAATTAACAGGGTTGCCGCTATGATGTGGCATTGGAATTGCCGCCGAGGCAATTTTACATTATGTATATAAGTGGTTGATGGAGATCCGAAATTTGAATCTAAGATACATCGTCGATAACAAGAGGACCATGCGTTCCGACTCTGTATTGTTGGTCGTTTTGTTGTCAACACGATAATGTCAACATACCGAGACCATGTGCGTTAATACGGCAGGATGCGTGTCCAAAAACATACACTACAGTATGCAACAGCCCATCCAGAGGACACAGTTTGCCGTCCGTTTGGTACAAATATAGTACTTGGTCACACGTCGTTATACTCACAGATAGCTGTCGTTGTGGTGACGGAGTTCCTATCTTTCTGAGTAACCATAGTGATTATAATAATAGTAACAGCAACGATTTAAGGGAAATACTTTCTATCCGGTTTTATCTCATAGAGCCAATGGTAGAGGTTGTTATCAGCATTTCTACATGGCTTAATCGTACTACATTCAGCCTCCGATCCTTGATGACTTCGTTCAGTTTCGTGGAGAAAAAAGTCGGCCTACCTTACATCAGCAGATTAAGTGCTGCATAAATTATATATTAGTTTGAAGTTATAACTTTCTTTATTCACGCAGGTTATGTAGCTGGCGGGACTTAGAGCAGCGACCCCTGATCTCTTTCAATCAAACACTGACGTTTAATAATGTATCAGCTGTTTGTATATTGTAATATCTGTAATTATTAGATTAGATCCGATATTCTGTCTATAATTGGCTGTTTAGCATCATTTTTATATCACTTATGTCTTCATTATTTTCCAGCTTATAAGTACTTGTGGATCCGTAGACCCAGAGATCTTCTGCAAAACAAAAGAAGTATTGGACGCACGAACTCGTACAGGCGGTCTAAAAAGCGGCAAACAAACGAATCATATTTATGATTAATCGACCTCATCTTTATGATTCGCATCTAACCGGTAAACTGCCAGGTTGACCCTTCGCCGAAATATACCGCCATATATATCTTTATCAGGGGATCAGTAAATGTTCAGCAGAGCTTTCAACAAGTAGAGCATAATGTGAGAAGATCGGACAATTTTTTGGTGCGATTATTAACTGTTTTTCTGAGATGCGCACGGGCGTGCTCAAGACACGAGAGTTGCAATGCAGGTAGATATCATCTTGAGAAGATACGTATTTTTAGGTTTCTCAAGATGGTGAAATAGACCGAAACACCTATCGACGTCCACTCTGGATGAGGCGGTTTCGGAAAGCCTGGATGCGATTGCCGTTCTGCTGATTCATAATGAAGTCCGGCAAGTCAACACCCATCATTACTGAAATACAGAAGAATATAATATAGGAAACTAATATAACATAAGAAGAAGAATATAAACCAAAGCAATTTAATGAGCTTAAATGTATTATAAAGCTATTCGAGTTATATGGTGAAGGCGTTAATGAGCTGAAATTCAAAAGGCATATCATTCTTTCTTTGGACTAAAATCTATCGAAGTTTTTTTTTTTTGAAAAAGCGCATTTGAAGTTGAGGCTAAATCTGCCAGAATTCGCTTAACGCTATCTTTGAAAAGAAGCGGCACCACCGAAAATAAAAAAATTATACCGATGTATTCGTCTAGGACCCTTCTATTATATGGCTTAAATGGGCTCACCGCAATGCGTTCATTTTTGAGAACTATTCTGTTGAAGACACCTATGCTGTTAGCCCATATAGCCCCATGGTACGGGGTAACTAATGGTCTTGCATGAAAAGCTGGTCATTCCACAAAGCTAAATGGAAAATGTTTTTCTTTTTAAAAGATGGCTGTAATTATTACTAGAAAAGCTGATCCTTTGTAATTATTTATTGATAAGTTTGGCAGGTCAAAGATTATGGTTTGTCTCCTATAAATCTACATGAATTTTTGCCGCCCCGAGTGAAGTTGGCGGTTTAAGTAGCTAAAGTGTTGGGACATACAAGCGTCGTGTTTTCTTTAGAAGTGATAACCGTGCTTATCTGCAATGTGATGCGTATGTCGGTACCCTTGTTTTGTCCAAACAACATGTTATGTCAATGAAGTCGTCCAAAAGTCCTTCAAAAGAAGCCATATGTAACACGTTGACAATAACGACATGTGGTACACGCAACGAGTACAGAGATACGATACCTTAATTTACACATACTTAGCTTACATATCGGTACTAAGCTGAATTGTGGCTTTAGAATTTCCTAAATTTCTTCTTAAAATGAGCAGCGACTATACACGATGCAATCTGTGGGCAAAATGCAATGGCCTATACGGCCCCAGCTTTTTGCATATACAGACGTCAGCCCAACTGGCTCAACCGTCTTAATAGCCATTGTCCTCTTAGTAGTCCCAAAGTGATTCCAATGAACGTATGCTACAGTGTTTCCAGTGGCAAAAAGTGTTCTCCAATTTGACCGCAAAAATGGAAAAAAATCCTGGCCTAATTTTTTTAGATGGCTCGAATATTTTTTTTCAAAATGGTCAGTGATAGCTCGTATGAAGTGTCTAACCCTTTTGAGAGCTTCCTTCCGTTGCTTTACACTCGTCTTTGTCCGTACAGGTCGCTGCTACAGGCTGGTCAAAATAAGTCATGCTCAAGACTTCGTCTGTCGCGAAAACGTTGGTATGGTTTGCGCATTTCGCATTGGTTTATGGTCCTGGCCCCGAAAGCCTTTTGTACTACGTATCAGCAATTCATTTATTTCTTAAAACACGATCGCGCTCGTTTCGGTGTGCGAAAATTATAAATATAGCTAAAACCGGAAAGGATATATATGACAAAGACTTACTCAAAGCCCGTGCACAGAATGATTTCGACCAAGAAAAACCGCTAAAAAGCATAAGGAAAATTACGTTCACGGTTTTTAGCTTGAACAAAAGTTACAATATGTAAAAGATATCCTAAAGAGGACCATGATTATAGCCCTGGATGCTGAAATGGCAACCAGGCTAACGTACTATACTATCGGGGGCTATCGTTCAGCTGCGCACAAAAGTTATGGTTATCGTATTTAAGAATGATAAACTAACTAGTTTTTAAGTAGTCTAGACATCGATTTAGAAGCAAAGGTACAGTTAAATGCGTACAGAGACAGATTAGTGCCAAAGATCTTAGAAAAAGTTACTTATGTTCCATCTTCGATTATCAACAAAGTGAAACAGGCCGAGACTTGTTCACTTCAAACCGCCTATATATGGATCGAATATAGATCATACGTTTGGATATGAATCTGGCCTCTGACTAGTAGAGAGACTATCTAGGCCACGGGTCGACAAAAGCCAGACGTTGTCACAATTTTAAAATACTATAAAATTGTTTGGTAATAATGTTTATATGTTCTTGCCCGCTGCAGTAAATAGCCTACTAAACGCTCCTAGAAATAAAATTCACCTCCACGCTTAAGAAAGCTGAATGGATGACTTGCGTACTCGGACCTGACCATCCTCTGGACGAAAGGTATTCCTCTAGAGGCCGTCAGCGTGGAAGGTCTAGTGAGTAGAGATATGGCGTATGGCCGGAGCAATACGGGCTCGCCCGCCGATGTAATTCCGCTCGTCGCGCCCCTGAAACGCATGCGTATAGTGATATTAAAGCGCGAACGAACAAACCTACTTTTTAATGGCCTAGCACGTGCTTCTGCCTCACGTAAATTTCAACAGGCAAAGCACTAACGAACATGTTATTCGAAAACGGGCGATACTTTGAATTGGACAAAACTCTCACAAAAATTGCCTTCAGGGTAATTTCAAAGATATCAGCAGTGATTATTTCCACAGGTGTGATTTTCACTAGGGAAATTTAAGAAAAACGGCAGGTCTCCGTTGTAGATAACTGGCAAAATTGGAACAATAGAAAGCAATGACAAAACTGCTTATTGTCTGCCCTTTGCGGATTAGTTTCAACAGATTTGTTCCATATTTATCGGGCCATGTCCCTTAAAGCTGAGCAGGAAAAGTCAATGTACTATAACGTTTTCTGCAGGAATATTAACACGTTTAATAATTCCATTTTAGACAACGGACAAAGTAATTAAACTATTATAAGAAAAAAGAAGTAAAATTTATAGACACACAAATAGGGTCTCGGTACACATGCCCTCACACACCAGAATAAGTGTGTTGGACTTAGGAGAGTGTCGACCAAATACCTGAACTCCAGTTCTTCCCTTAAGAATTAAGCCGTAAACGTAAACCTTTGTCGCTTTGTAGTATATTGTGCCTATAATTTCTAGGCTAATTTGCGTGATTGCAGTAAGACACAACAAAGAGGAAATGCGCTCCAGTCCTTGCTCTGCAGGTCTCGATCCCAACATCTTGATTTATTGAGTTATCAAAATTTCTATGCATTTATTTGAATCGAACCGTGTGTAGCATCCGGAACCAACTAGGCCTATATCGATTAAGAAATTCTGAATTAAAACAGTACTGTAAATTCCTCCAATTACTACTTACGAAGTGATTCTGAATAGAATATCAACGCGCTTTACCTCTGTTGTGGAAATATACATAAAATGATTATTAGTTGACGGATTAGTTTGTTCTGTGTAGTCTAGCCAAGGTCGTTCATAAAAGTGGACAACGATTTATCTCTAGCCATAGTTTGTCAATGGTTACGTAACCTCGTCCATTTATTTATGGGCAACCCATTTTTCAATATTATAACGCGTGGAAACATAAAGTAGGCTGTACGTCTATTATTCAAAACAACAAAATCCATTACCTGTAGCATGACACTAAATTGAAATGAAATTAAAATAATATTAATTATAAGGCGCCCTCTTTTCGGAATGTCCAACCAAAACGAGAAAAGACTACATAAGTTGCAATACGACCTAACCTAACCTAAAAGTTAGTAATCGTATGTATATCAGAAAAGAACGTGCAATGCATGCACGACGTGGTTGCTTCAGTAAGCGGTTACGCATGTTACAAAAACTTAGGCCAGAACGACCGTTCAACATAGTGACCACACATGTCTATGATGGGCTTCTTTAAAAACCCAGTCCGCAGCGCGCCTATCTTTTCTTCCTTTTGTTTTTTTCTATGAAAATTTTTTTACAAACCCGTAATGCTCTTGTTGTATATTGTCATACTCACTTGCTGTGTTTAGAAATTAGATTTTACCATTTTAAGTCGAACCTATAACACAAATTATGTGCTTTAGACGAATTTCATAGCTTCACATACCCAGAAGTTTTCACAGTATGGCATTAATACCCTTTAACTTAATTGTCCTATTCTTAAACTTCGGCATCGCTGTTATATTACTATCCAAACTCGTTGGCCTACTCCAAGGCTAAACTTTCAAGACTGATTTATCAGGACCAGATATGAGTCGTCTTAGACTGATTCGGTTCACCTGAAGCGTTAATATGTTCCTAGTTTCTTTACTTTGATTGGTGCTATCTCAGATAAGTATGTTATTTCATATACAGCGCAATAAACTTGAGCGAGATGTTCACCACACTTTGAAGATTTTAGGGTTGTATAGGCAGCTCGTACACGATCAATTGAACAAATCCTAATGATAGAATACTGAGTGTCGTTGCGAAATTACATACGAATGCGTCTTAAATTTATGCATTTCTAAATTAGGCATCTTTTGAACTTGAATATCGTTTTTACCCACTTTTTTGTAATCAAGAGGGTATAAAAAAAAAATTAATAATCATAATTGACGATTTTCAATTCTTCTAAATATTTTTGCACAGAACATAAATATTTTTCCACACAAAAGATAGAAAAGCTTTGGTCTACCGGAGAAGTAACATCTATCATTGCATTTACCCTAATCCCCGAATTCTACAGTGCATGCACCACAACACATAGTATAGCATGAAATCGACAAAGATAGGATAGGATAGGATATGATAGGAGCAGGCGCATTATAATCGCTAAGGAATTCCGCCTATTAAAATCTATGCCTCGAAGATGCATATGACTATTATTTCAAAATGAAACAATTTGGGCCATATCCGGCCGTCTCGCTTAAGGGGAGCTAAGTAAATTTGGTAATCGAATTCCGTTCCCCAATCCGCGAACACGACTTCCTAACCAAGAAATTTAACTATGTAAGAATCAGTCATGGAAATCGCATTTTCTTAATACACCAGAAGCCGGATACCAATCATGTCTACTCATATAATGATACATACCTTTGATTAATTTGATTCTTCAGACCTGTTTTTTGCCCGCTCAAACATACCACTTCGAAGATGCATTTACTACACAGCTCTCTACGCAGTTGTCGAAATAACAGTCTACCTTTATTAGTTATTTCAACAATGGATATGTTTCTCGCGTTGAGAGATGTCATGCAGTAACTAACAAATGGTTGATCTATGCTGTCACGAGACGTTCTCTTATACGGTATATGGCCGCCATCAAGGAATGACCCTTTACGCTACCCAGTTCTTCGCCAGCTCAGGAACTACGCGCAAAACTGAACTTAAAACAGCATACGGCTAAGCGTGAGCATGATGTAACAAGTGCGTAAAGAAATCCTTCAGTTCGGTTAAATCAGCGAGACTGTTAACGATGGTTCAGGAATGTTCGTGTTGCTTCTAAACTACTCCGATATGTATTTTAAAGATGCTTTTATTCGGAACAACTCCGGTAAGGGAGGTTGGATAAAGGATGACATAAATTAGGAGGCAGATCATAGGTAGTTGTAAGATTCTAACAGTCCGTTATAACACGCTAACTACTTAGCATACGCCAAGCTCCAGTGTTAATTTTGCTTTTTTTTCGAAGGTACATTTCTTAGCATCGCTTACAATGCCAAACTACAGAAACAGATGTTTGTCGAGTAACGGTCAATGTTGGAGACAGTTTCCTGAACACGCATAACCTAGTACATACACACGGGACGCCTACACAGTTCCACGGTCAAACACTATATTTAGTACAGAGACGACTTACATTTCTTTATCTATATCAATCGCAAAACCGGCCTTTACAGTCTTTGGCAATTTTTTTTTGAAAATTAGTCGACGTTTTTGGAGCAGTCTAAAACAGCGGGAACAAATGAGTAGTGTGATTTTTGCCTATTGCTGAATGTCTGCGATGGCATGAGAATACTGTCGACTCTATATCTACGACGACACTAGGCAAATCAGTACAGTTATTATAATTTTATTTAGGGCAGTTTTTGTTAAGTTACAGAGGAGAAGAGAGTTGTAACTGCTTGCATTCAGCACAACTGACTGACTGCCAATATCGCGAAAGCAATCAACTATTATCGCAGTATCAATTGTGACGATTATATTCATTTCGGTTGTGCGCGGGGCGTTCCGATAATCTGAACGCTATTAGATTAGTGTCACATGTACGTACGAACGCATATGAGCCGGACTGCATCGGGAACGACCCACCTGGCAAATACTAGCGCTCGTTACCAACAGAGGACCGGGAGAAAGGGAGCGGGATCGCCGTTAACGATGTACTTTCAGTGGGCACTCCAGCTAATACTATAAAAAAAACAGATGCATCAACGACCAATATCTATTGTGTTACTCGTGGGTCTCGAAGTGGCTAAAATGAATTGTACGTTCATCGACTACATTACATTACCCCATAGCCAGAGCTAAATGATTCGGTTGCTTGATAACAGTAACTAGCGACTATATCGTCATATAGAGGCGGATTGGTCTAGCCAATAACTTTTTTCATTATACAAATATATGTCATGCGTAGGTGTATATAATATTTATGCTCGATATAAAGTTCCTGAACATTAGACACTGCCAAATTTCCTTCTCGATCTCTCCGTCCCTTCATCTTTGAGTCACTTGCTCAGTTTTTTGATAATTTATATTTATTATTATACATATCACGAGTGAACTTTTTTAGAAGGATTTAGTTAAAGGTATTATTTAAGCTGATTTCGTACGTGTAGAATTTTCGTTATGGCCATTGCATTCGTTCATAACTAGGAAATAGGCCACTTGAGTACGTTACTACCTTTCTAAGAAATCCACCAAGCGAGTCAGGATTGGCTTGTGCTCCCTAAATTTATGGGATTTATCGCCGATGTACATTGTCTGAGTGTCGGACCTGAACGAAAAGCTCAAAAGGAAGTTTCTTGCTTACCAGGAGAGGCGACTGTCATCTTGGCCAGGTAGCGTATTCTCTTCACTGATTTCCTCCTGGGGAGAGCGACTCGCTGCGACCCCACCAACAAAATGAAGTGATACCAACGTAACCAGCGAGTACAGGAGCGCCGCTCTGTGGCGGGCTGACAATGCTCGCATGGCCGCTGGTATCGAAGACTTCGCTGACTGTCGTGACGGCGATTTCATTTAGAGAATTGGTCTGCAAATAATATAAATTGTAGATAGCGTACTAGATCAACAAACGCCTCTAAATCTTCATTCGTCACCTGCGAAATAATTATATAAATGTTACAGTAAGCAGGAGATGGAAAGCTAATCTCTAACACTGAAAGTGAGTAGGTATGTTGTGTAATGCTTCGCTCAATAGTATCCAACCTTTTTGTTCACCTTCAAGATACTGAAGGCCTTTTACAACAACTATTTTGCTATCTTGTTTAATTTATCTTATGAAATCTTCTTATGATCTTATGAAAATGTATCTTATTATCTAGTTATAATTTTTTTATGTACAATACGACTAACTTGCGAAAGTTGTGCATCTTCTAACAATAAGATGCGCTTTCAGTAACCTGGGCGTAATTGACAACGAAGGTCATCACAAATCTAGTTATAATGAGGGACGCTAACATAGTTCCTATGCACCTTCACCGTACGTCCGTCCATTATTTATATGTAATGATGTGTATATTACGAAACGAGAAAGTGTCGGTAACACCTGAGACATTTACAGCCATGCTGCTCAAGTGATTACTGGTGAATTTAGATTGTTTTCGACAACGGTAACTACTGCTCAGCGAATCATACATTGGCATAAACCGTTCCATTACTATTTGGAACAGTAAATTCAGAGTCGTCATGCCCATAATACCGAAAAACCCTTTTAGTTGGGTTTTGAGATGAGCTTGCATTGCGGGCGAATGCTAGTGTCGTTCAGATTCATGTTGAAGGATTTTTCGTACCAAAAAACTTATCTACTTCCTTGCTGGCATCAGTTGCAACCATGAAGCATGAAAAAACACTTGTATGGCGGTAAGACCATTGCAGCAAACAATGTTTCTTCGTCCTTGAAAGGCACAGACATCGGTAGTCCGTATCCCACTGATGTAACAGAGCGGATGGCCAGCAATCAGTGGAAAAAAACATAGAATATAGTAATAGTAGCTAACACTTTGCAATGCCAGACTGCTCCTCACGCTTTAGCAAAGGGTTGAAATGGGCCCAGCTATGACGTGAGCAATATCCCACGGTGCAGATCTAAGGTAATTCAAGGCATGGTAAATCGGGGCTCAAAAAGAAAACGATTAGCCATTTTTTTTTTAATGAAGCATCGGAAACTGGATTATGTCGGTTCATATATATATATATATATGATAGGCAAACGTGTTGATACAGTCGTATGTGTAAAATCTGTCGGATTACAATCGGTAGTTAATCACTGGGTCGAAGGTTGTAGATTTTTAATATTGATTTACGCTGAGTTGAACATTTACTATACTGCAAAATTATAGCGGGACATTTTTAAACGTTAACAGAATCTATTTGATACAAGAGTATTACTAGTGCAGTACCGTGATGATCCACGAGTAAAGTGTATAGACTTCAGGCTGAGAGTAATATCAACTGGTCGTTACGTGCCAAGAATTAGCCGTCCAAAGCAGCGCAGCGTAGCCGAACGTAAAGCTCAGAACGTGTATAGGAATACAAAATGCAATATCACGTCAATGCAGCACAATTTTAGTAATTTAGAAAATAATGTATGGAACAAATTCGAAAATTTATAAAACTTCAGTCAGCGATTCCTCTACTCAGCCTACTAATGAAGGCTTGCTCACACACGCAAATTACAGTTGTTGCAGGATGTGAACCCAACAAAGAACTTACAACATTAACCTTTTTCGTTGTTCGTCTTGTGTGTGTGTATTAATTTAACTTGTTTACACATGTTTATTCTTGTGAAATAAATCAGCTGTTCCTGAAATTTACCTATTTGTACATACGAAATAGTGCGAGTACTCAGAATTAAGCCTCGTTTAGACAATCATAGATGATTGTTCATTCTAACGGCTAGCCGACCGTTAACCGAGCATTATGATTTTAAAATTTGTGCACTACTAATAATTTGTTTATTAACAGTAAGGTAGCTTTTGCTGGCTAGACAACGTATTTTCCAGCTAGTTGACTCAAAGTTATTAATAGTCAAGTTATATTTTAAGTAGCTCTATATTCGTCCCGGACTGTCCATCGACCATAATCTAGGTAAGATGTGATCTCCCTCATTTTCTCATTCAACATTTATCGCTTATCTCATATTTGCGATGCTTCTGACCTACTGATACTATCAGCAAGACATCGTGAAGATTCTTACAAGGTATCCGACAGACCAGATATTTGGTGCGGCAGCCGCTATCGTATCTCTGTCCGCTCAAACATCTCGCATTCTAAGTCTGTCTTCCTTACCCCCCGGCGAGCTAGATTAGCTGACCAAAGCACAATTGTTACTAGAATCTGAGAAGCGAAATTGTCAGCAGCAACGCGTAGTAGTTACAAATAGATCGAATAGTAAATAGTAAACTAGTTAAGCGTTCTGAAGTTGACTATGACAAAATCATGGCGCTGTACGGACATGTTCAAACTTGCATATCAGCGGCTAAATCTCTAACGACGGAGTACTATAAGATGCACTCTACACTTCCCGGAAGAAAACTCCTGTACAACATAAAGTGAAGGAAGCAAGCCAGGACGATTTGATGAAACACAACAAATGAAAAGCAACACTGTTAAATGATCGCAATGCGTCGTATCACAAGCATAGCCTGTGTCCTACAACCTGTGCCACTTTTATCGTTGCCTATTCGCCTATATGTCACAAAACTTTTAAGCGCTAAATCCCCATTGAATGCAACCATTACTGCTTTTGAATATAAATCACGATTATTAGTATTAAAGGGTACTGTCACTCTCTCGTCTAGAAGCGTTTTGCTAATTACAATCTGCAACATTTCCCTGTGAAAAATTTTCCTAAGAAATATTTACCATTTCTTACAAACACCAATTGTATTTAATAGCAGGAACTTAGTTCAACGGGAATCGAGATTGAGGCGCCCTCTGCCACAGAACGCCCATGGCGTGTACCGTCCGTTGGAGGGATTGGATTGTACCAAGAAGAAGTAGGTGGTCCTGCGGGCAGGTACGATCGTCATCGGGTGACTGCAGTCACGACGTTCAGTCGTCTAACGGTTGTTAGTTGCCGCTGCAATAACGCTGTATCGGTGTAGATTCACACAATGGGTCATCGAGCTTTCATAAAATGGGTTTGTCAAAATGACACGAAGTTTCGTGGACGATGGCAACCAAAATGTAAAGTTATACTTCATCTTACCGGATTTACGTTTGCTGTGAGAGACCGTGTTAATTATGTCCTAGTTTCCTCACGACTCGTACCGATCTATCGGCAACGATACAATCCCTTGCTTCGACGATGGCTGGACAACCCAACGAAATACTATTTCAACCATCGTGTGGTTGTTCGTAGGCAAACACGCTGTCTGGCTGATCTACTAATGATGGTCACGTCGGGTCCAGGGAACATACGCCGCCATCAAGCTATCGCTTCACATGGGCGAAAGACGTCCCATCCACGGTGAACCGTAGCATTATCTTTGTTATTAGCCGAGTACCGGAAGAAAACCTCATGGACGTACGTTACGAGGTAGGGTTAAACAGGGATATTTTAATGTTTGACTTTGATGATTCCTACCGAATTGCTGCAATTAAAACGGTGCTCAGTGTCAGGTACGCCGCTGACTGCAGACCTCGTTACCTGTTGAAGGCAGATGACGACACATATGTGAAGATCGAGAGTGAAATTTCTAGAAAGAGCGCTAAATGAGCCGTTTATAGCTGAGCAAGTTAACAGTGCACATATACCCCATTGACGGACAACTAAATGGATCGTCGATCGTGAGCAATATCCCGAGCCGGAATATCTGCCTTACATAAGCGGAAATCTTTATATAGCTTCCGGGAAACTTCTGACATGCATGGCATCAACAGCAATGTACACGGCCCATCTAAACTTAGGAGATATGTTTATGACTGGTCTGGTGGCCACGGAATTGTCAGTTCCCCGGGTCGACATTGACGGCGTATGGGATCGCAAACGTTCATCAACGCCGTACTGCGCGTTAGAGCATCTTGTGTCATCGAACATGACGCAAATTCGCAAAGCGCGTTCCGCATATACAGAAGATTTTTAGGAATTAGCTGGTGTAGCTATGTGTTGAAGCTATTTTTACCTAAATTTAGCTCATGCCGACACAGAGAAAAGATGTTTAACGCCGTTTCCTTTACTGGGACCGGAATACGTTTACCCTATTCTACGGCCCTTATCAAATCAAGGCATTATCATGGGATGTCGTAGTTTGACTAACTCGATCACATTATCATTTGGGAAGTGATTTCCAAGCCGTACGAAGGTATTTGCTTGATACTATTCATAACAAAGATAGCTAATCAGCAAACTACGTAATGATCGAAATTAACGAATATATATATATATATATATATATATATAGTAAGGCTCTGAGGCCTAGAAGGGTGCGCACTGTGAAAATCATGAGCACAATTCAGAAAATAATACTTAAAACAAACTGTTATAATTCGATTCGATACGTTTTTAATGTAAAAAATGAGGGGACAGGTGCATGTAGCGCTGTTTATAACGTTGACCGGAGAAAAAACGGCTTCGCGGGGTAGCTGCTTGGCCACATTATCGGCTTGAATTTTTTCACCTCACGATATATTCGGGACACTTTTCATGAAAACTGTATATACATTAGTTATTTTGTATAAGTCATTATTGGTTGCAAGTGAATTTACGCCTTAGGCTTCGAGCCTCACCCCTAAGCAACTAAAGCTTTGAAAATGAATGAAACCTTTGCCAAACAAAAAAAAACGGAATAGGCCCCTATATATCGGCTTTTGAACTGTTTGAAGTATTGTATGCGTCTAGGTACCTGAAAATGTAATCGATTTGTCTTTTGACCCGTAATTTAAGGTTAATACGTAGATCCACCTGACAAAATTTGAAAACAATATTATGTTTAAGGTATACTTCTGGAAGACTTGGACTCTATGCAGGCTGACTAGGACCGAATAAGAGCAAACGTACAGATATAAAATCCGGTATTAAAATGTAGT